CTCTCTGAGAGTTAAACCATACCAACAACAACAACAAAAAAAAAGAGAAGTGAAAAACATGGTCAACTTAAAGCAGTGGTTCTCAACCAGGGTGAAGATTTTTGCCCCCGCCCCCACCTCAGGGGTATTTGTTAGTGCCTAACAACATTAAAGGAATGGAATGGCTTGCGCTGGCCGCTGGCTCGATTGGTTGGAGCATCCTCCCGTACACCCAAACAGTTGCAGGTTCAATCCCCGGTTGGGGTGCATGTCGGGGGAGGCAACCCATCCATGTTTCTGTCTCACATTGATGTGTATGTGTGTGTCTCTCTCCCTTCCTCTCTCTAAAATCAATAAACATATCTTCTGGTGAGGATTTTTTAAAAAAGGAATGGAATGGCTTGACCATATTCTGATCGCAGAGTAAGACAGGGCTGGCCAGCAGTGGAGGCCCTGGGAAAAGTTACTCAGGAAGACAAGAGGGCCCAGCCTGGTTGGGCCTGTGAGACAGGCAGGTTACGTACAGTGGGCTCACATCTCACACAAGTGCAGGCTAAAGTCACCATGTCTTAAAAAATACTGCAAGAAATGTGTAAGACAATCAAGAAAATATGCTGTTAACTGGATATTCAATAACATTCTAATTTTTAAATGTTGTAATAATTTTGCATTGCTGTGTAACAATCACCACAAACGTACTGGCTTAAAACAACACATATTTATTTTAGTCTCTGTGGATCAGGCTGGGTCCTCTGCACGGCCACAATTGGGGCGCTAGGTAGGGCTGGGGTCTCAGTCTCATATGAACACTCAGCTGAGGGGAAAGATCTGCTTGGGAGCTCACTCAGATCATGGCCAGTATTCAGTTCCTTGCTCTAGTAGGACTGAGGGCCTCGTTTTCATGCTGGCTCTCAAGTAGAGGCTGCCCTCAGCTCCTAGAGGAGGTGAGAATCATGGGGTTACCTTAAAAGTCTGTCTTCCATTGATGTGATATTGGCATTGAGGTTACTATTCTTTTTAGGAGCCCTTATGTTTTAGAGCTAAATACTGAAATATTTGCAACGAAAGTATGTCTGCCTGGGATTTGTTTCAGGACAATCCAGAATGGAGGGAAAGTGGGTGGAAGTATAAATAATTCACCATAAGTTGAAAATTGTTGAATCTGGTAGGTTCGTGAAAGCTCATTATATTATTCTCCCTACTTTTGTGTATGCTTGAAAAATACTAAAATTAAAAATAAAAAGATCCCATGCATATTTTCTATTGCTGCAAAACTAATTACCTCACAACTTAGTGACTTAAAACAACAAACACTTATTTTTCTCAGTTCCTGTGGATCAGGAATCTGCACAGCTTAGCTGGGTGCTTCCGGCACGGAGTCTCACAGGGCTGCCATCAAGGAGTGGAGGGACTTCAGGCCTCTGAGGCACCATGAGCTGGAGGATCTGCTTCCAAGCTCATGCATGTGGCTGTTGCTCAGGGGACTCAGTTCCTTGCTCATAATGGGCAGCTGGCTTCCCACAGAGCAAGTGATGAGAAAAAGAAATCGAGAGAAAGAAAAAGACAGACACACATAGAAGTTGATCAAAACATAAGATGCAGTCTTTTATAACTTAATGGAAGTGACATGCTATTACTTCTGAACATTCTGTTGGTCACACAGACCAGCCCTGGGGCAGTGTGGGAAGGGGCTGCACAAGGTCTGAATGACAGAAGGCGGGGATCATTGAGAGCCATTTTGGAGTCAGGCTACCATGCTGTATAATGCAAAAATTGAGTGTTGTCAAAATTATCCTTGAAAACCCTAAAATAACCTACAAAACCTAATGTGCAGTTATACCAGCGCACAAGCCCAGCACCGCCAGTTTTTCTCCAGTGCTGGCACACACCGCCGTTTTATTGAGTGCTAGACAAAACCGTCGGCTTGAAGTTGGGATCATGGTTGTTCCCAAAATAAATATATTTAAACACTAAAGTCACATTTGGCCTTGCTCCAAGCCTATAAAGTTAAATTCAAGTAAATTAAGTGCAGGATGATGGGATTCTGATGCACCGTTCAAGTGAGAAAGCTTATCATGTCTTGATGACATCTGCCATTTGGGTCCATTTTGCTGACTCCTTATTTTAGCTCCATAGTTACCAAACAGCTTCCTGACTATAATTTGGTTTCCCAAACAGAAATGCAAATGGGGAGAAAATGCTCTGATCTAAATCATTCCGTAGTTACATTCCTCACTGTGAAATTAAAAGTTGGTATTCTGGCTTTAAGTCTCAGTCTCTATGTGCTAGGTCACTGTGAAGCTGCACCTGAGAGATCGATTCACTCTTGGTTCATTGACATGATAGGCTTTTGAGCCTGCACTTCTGAGTCCCTATCAGGGGTGTCCAACCTGTGGCCCATGGGTCACATGCAGCCCAGGATGGCTGTGAATGCAGCCCAACACAAAATTGTAAATTTACTGAAAACATTATCTGATTTTTTTATGATTACATGCCACAGTGTATTTAATGTGTGGCCCAAGACAACTCTTCTTCCAGTGTGGCACAGAGATGCCAAAAGGTTGGACACCTCCTAGACCGTGATGAATTTACCCAAATAATGCCACCCAAGGGGGAATCATCTGAGGGGCCTAAAAGTCTTCTCAAGCTGTGGTGGCTATATTTAGTCCCCCACACTTCAAAGGTCCCTTTCTATTCGATGGGAGGATGTAACCAGTTTTGGTCCATAGGCTGTAAACAGAATTGACACATCACTTCAGAGCCAAAATAGAGTGAGAATTTCATATACTCCTTCTCCTGCTGCAGGAACCATGGAGGCCACACACTGAGAAGGTAGAATGCAAACCCAGCCTGAGCCCCCGCATGATCACAATGAATGGAACCCCTCTTGACCTGTGATAGACAGAAAATCTGAGTGCAAATAAAAGTTTGTTGTATTAAACCACTCTGACTTTGTAGATATTTCCTACGTTAGCATAACCCAATGTAACTCATTACACCACGGGAGGCCAACTTTGCTGGGAGCACATCTTTTTTAAATATAAACTTTATTGATTATGCTATTATAGTTGTCCCATTTCATCTCCCCTTTATTCCCCTCCACTCTGCATCCCCTTCCCATTAGCATTCCTGCTCCTTAGTTCATGTCCATGGGTCATTCATATAAGTTCTTTGGCTTCTACATTTCCCATACTATTCTCTTTTTTTAATATATTTTATTGATTATGCTATTACAGTTGTCCCATTTTCCTCCCTTCACTCCCCTCCACCCTGGAGCACATTTTTCAATCAATGGTAACCTTACACTTGAGTGCTGGGATACATCTCCAACAATCTTTCTCCTCAAAGCCCTACACCCACTCTTAGTAAGATGAAATAGGCAGGAGGTGGGCAGAAGCAGAAGAGGCAAGGAAAAACCTAGCAGGACTACAGATTTTAAAGCACCCTCAAACCTGCCCTGCTCACGTCAGCAGAAAAGTCACCCATATGCTAATTCTAGAGTCGCTTTGCTCCTACTACCTGAAGATGTCATTTCATTTCCTCTTGTTTATCTATTTGAGTGCGCCTGTCCTTCCCCACCCCTGCCCCAGCTTCCCTGGAGGCCACTTCTGGAGGGCTGCAGCCACTATGGCCACTCAGTCTTCAGCAGGGTGACCAAGTAAACACATTAAATACTACAGTTGCCCTGGCTATTCTGACTCATCTCTCCATTGCTAAATGGAAAAATTTTACTTACAAAAGTAAATATAGGGTTTGAAAATATAGGATGAAAAGTCAACCCAGATGCTTCAAATAGCAACTTTCATGCAAAAAAAGAATTTACAGTCATCTCAAGGACTTGTTTCCCCAAAATAGCTATTAAGAACTTAGCATACAGTTAAGAGATAAAATCCAGACCCTTGCAGTTGCACATTTATATAAAATTATTCATACAATTCAGCTCTAGGTTGTGAAAACCTTGCATTTGGTGAGAACCCCCCGGTGATTCTTGCCCTCGGTGTCAGGACCAGCAGATGAGTTGTGATGAGCTGTGTGTGCAGTGTGTGGTGGGCCACTGGTCACTCAGTAAGCTAAAGCACTGAAGCCAGTGAATTACTTTCTTTGTTGCAAATTAAGGGAAACACAAGATCACTTGTGTAATACATTCACTCTCACATGCCTTAGCAAAAATTAATAAATATAGAAAACATGGTAGCATTAAGGTGAAAAGTGTTGGGACAAGAATTTCTAACTGATCAGCTTGCAGTTTTTGAGATGGCCAAGAATGGCCATCAATGAGGTCATCTTAAAGAAACACTTTTAAAAAAAATCCTCACCCAAGAATATATGTATTGATTTTTAAGACAGAAGAAAGGAGAGAAACATCAGTGTGAGAGAGAAATATCAGTTGGTTGCCTCTTGCACGCACCCTGACTGGGGATCGAACTCACAAACTTTTGGTGCACGGAAGACAAAACAAGTGAGCCACCCGGCCAGCACAAGAAACACTCTTAATGACTTGAAAACAGTCCCCATCCCAGAGTCAGTTATAGGTTTTCAATATTATAGATTTAACAGAATTTAAAATTATGTTAAAACCCCTTTATTAAGGTAAGAGAAAATACCTTTTAATTTATCACTCTAAAGCGATATATTAGATAAAGACATTAAATTATCTTTAGTGTTTTAATTTTATTACCACAGAAATACATACACATTTTTTTAATTTCTGTTTTTTTAGTTGTTTAGTTATATGTCTCATTTTTAGTTATTGAACCCAGTGTGTTCCAATAAAATAATTTTTTAGATACATTAAAATTATTACCAAATATTATTCCTCACACATGAACTGTTTTCACTGTCTATTTTCATGACCCATCCTTGTCCATGTAAATTCATATTCTCATAGATGGCATAACACTGCTAACATTTTATAGCCTAATATAATTTTCTTTCTTAGTATTATATCGTAAAGATTTTCTATATTTCTACATAGTTACCAGGTCTTTTTAATGACTACAAAATATTCTACCACATTAACCTAAGTTTAAATGGTCTGATTTTATTCCTCATAAATTTGTCCCTCATTTTGTGATTGGTAGTCACAAAGAACAACCTTATTTTTTGTTACTAGTTACTTACATTTCAAATACAGGTAGAACCAAAACTCAATAGTTAATTAGTCAGGGCATATTATTACATATCCATTAATGTGTCTTCATTTTGCTATGTCTAACATGAGGTTAAGTAGATTACTATGCAAGCTTGCTAAGCTAAAGGCAGCCCCTTATGTTTCTCTTTACGAAACGTCATTGAAGATAGCTGGGTCTGGGCACAGCCAACTCTAGGCCATCAGCGTGCCCTCTAAAACAACAGCAGCGCCACCCCTAATGTCAACCCGTCCATCAGAACGCAGTGAAATCTCCAGCTCTCCTCCTCGGCAGGAACACTGAAAGGCTGAAGAAAACAAAATGAATCACAAATTAAGATCATTTTCACCCTTTTTAATTAAAAAAATATAGTGAGATACCTCTTATTACAAGTTCCAGAATCCTCTCAGGTCAGTTAAAGGAATAAATTCCTTCATCTGTCCATTGTACAGCTCACAGCGTTAATTGTAACCCTGACACAACTAAAAGTTTCCAGCCAGAGCAGTATCCGGAGGTCTCCTATACTTTCGGTGGTTTAATAAACGTTTTGTTTTAGTTGGTAAGTTATAATTATATTTGTTTGGTTTTGAGAACCCAGCCCAGCGGGTTCTCCTGAGGACTGAGGGGCCACAAATACAAGGGGATCCACAAAACACACAACTCTGTGTCTTCCCTTCCTGGGCTACTCCTCTCTCACCTCCTGAAATGCCCCAGATACACCCTCTCCGTAATTTCCTGCCCAGCTCTGTCTGGGAGTAAGCAAGGACGTGTGAAAAGGCAGACAAAAGAACTAGATGTCTAAGAAGATCAGGAGGAATGGTCTTGGCCCTTCTGAGAAGGCCCCACCTTTCCAGGTCTGAGTAAGATCAGGGGAGTCCACTCCCTCATTGTGGCCATCAAGCAACCACATGTGTCAGGCAAACGAGGGGCATGGCCTCAGCCTTCCTGGAGCTCAATCCTTTGGGGAGTAACTAGTCTCACCTAAGAAAGAACAGCCACCCTGCTATCCCCAAATTAGTGTCACAGAGGCCTAGCCCTCCTACTAAGTAAGACCTCTACTCTTTAGGGTAGGACTCATTTTAATTATTAGGGCCATGTAGCCTCAAATGTCTGAGATCTATTTTTCCTTCCGCTGAGCAATATATTAATCAGCTGGGGACTTGGTCCAAGAGCAATTTGTTTGATTCAACCCTGTGACTTAGCAATAGCAGTAAGGAACCTAACTGATCATCCAGTCTAAACTTGTCGCATCATATATAACTTCTCTGGGTCAAAGTAACACAGCTAGTTAGTTTTATTCAACAAACATTTATTGGGTGCTACTGTACTAGAAGTGTGTCTGTGTGTTGGGAGGGCGGTGGAAGGTGTTTGGGATAGAGGTTCTCTTGCATAGAGGGTTCAGGGTGAGGTAATTTAAAAACCTTTCATTTTCACGTGAATGATACATAACATTTTATTATATCCTCAAGTGGAGAGTACATATGAGAAGGAATACTAGCTTAAGGTTAGGCATTTTTTTTAACTGAAAAAGAGCTGTCCTACCATGCATATCTTTCTTCCCCAATTGCTGGGACCAGTAGCTGCTGAGAACTGTATGTGCAGACCCTTAAAAGAAATGAAAAATTATGATACAGTCACAAAGGAAACTGTGGAGATTTTGTGGTACACTTATAAGCAGTCACAATCAACTACACAGTTTGACTAAACCTTAGATGACTTAGTCATTATGTTGCCATGGCCACAGCAGTGTGTGGAATTATGAATGGAGATAGAAAGGAAGACATAGAATTTATGGATAAGCTTCTCCAAATGATACATTTGTTATGCTTTATACTTTCTGAAGGCTGGATTAAACTGCAGGTTTTAATTCTTGTCCTGTCTATAATTCACTGTCAGCCATGGTAGGAAAATCAAGTCCTTCACAAGAGTCTTTCTAGATCTTTCCAGGGAAAAGATCTGCTTCCTCCTAGGATGCGCACACAAAGAAAGGTGGAAGCTCTGACAAAATGCCAAATTTTCCACCAAGCGCACAGTCCCAGACTTTCGGTGGCCAAAGAACTTTCTTTCAGTGAGGTATTTTTTCACATGATTGTACTCTGGGTTTTGATCAGAGAACAGATAGTTAAATGTTATATAAAGTTATTACTTTATACTTTATAAAGTATAAAGTCTTTGCCAGAAAAGTCTTTGAGGGAGTCCTACCCTGAAGTTCGGATTGGAAAAGGCCCCTCTTTCAGGAAAACAGTAAATGCTATGGGAAGCCCACATGGTGTGAACAGCCATCCCAGTTTGCCTGAGACTGTCCTGGTTTTCCCATATGCTGAAAAGCCCTCAATTTCAGGCAAGCTGAAATGGTTGGTCATTGCTGTCCGAAGACCTTTCCTCTCCAGAAAAGCATTATTCCAGGGGAAAAACACTTGTCCTCCACGCCAATTAAAATCTTTGTAAGGCAGCTGTACATGTATAAATCTACTCAGAACTTATTGTCCATGGGGGAAGGTTTGAGTTGGACTTTTTGGATGTCATTTGGGCATTTTCCTGAGTCTTTAAAAGTGTTTGCTTACTGAGTTTAAATTTCACCTGTTTTGTTCCTTAGAGAGTAACTAAGTCAAAGTCCTGACACCACCCAGCCCCTGCCATCTGACCAGGACAGGAGCCTGCAAGTCTCCGCCCAGCTCCCTCTGGCCTGGCCACCATCCCATCCATGGAGCGCTGCCCACTTTTGCTGCGCAGCCCACTCTTCTTGAAGAGGATGAAAGTAGGAGGTTTCACATTCTTGCCCATCTTAAATCTCACGCCTCTGCTTCTGGCTGGTAGAAGATCTTGAATAACCCTGTTCCCAAAGTCACCCCACCTACTTTGGAGGCAGGTCTGGGAAAGGTGGAGGGGAGGAAAAGAAACACTATTCCTGTCCCTCTTCCCACTTGCAGCCCAGGAGTTTATCCTTCAAAACCAATTTTATCTAGATGTCAGCAATTGTGCAGGATAGTCACTGGAAAAGACAAAAGACATCAGCCCCTGAATTTAAAAAATAGCAGGTCTGGAAGTGTTTGCTCAGGGAGCCAGTTTCATGATTATTAAAACAGCTAGTAGTTATTGGGCACTTACTATGTGCCAAGCACCGTGATAAGTACTTAACTTGCATTGGGTTTCAATAATCCTCTGGGTATTATTTATGTTTTATAGAGGTGAGAATGTATACTTTTAAAAGTTAAGCCATTTACCCAAGGTCAACAGCTAGAAAACTAGGATACACACCCAGGCTGTCTTGACATTGAAATTTAACTCTGCTAGACTGCTTCCTATTCTGTGTTTTTCACATGAGATGTCAGTGAAGGGATGGGGGCAGGAAGATGGGGAAACAGAGGCAGCTAGCTGAAAGCATAAGCAATCTGAAAGTCACAGGAAGGGCACTTAAACAGCTGTTTGTTATCCTCCCACTCCTCACTGTTTAACCCTCCCCAGGAACCACATCAAGAAGTACCTGTTACAGGGTCTTCCGCCACACCAACCCACGGTGCAAAATATCTGGAGTAGAAGTCGAATGCTTGGGTCTGCCCACCAGGCTGTCCTTTAAGGGTGAGAATGAGTCCTTTCACCTTCCCTGTGTTCTCTACTTGCAGCAGATTCTGTGTGTTCACTTTCAGTTTCTCCAGAAATGACCTTGTTCATAAATGGGATGGATTAGAACAAACGCATTCCACAGACCACCTACTACATAGACTCTGTAAAGCAGGCCAGGGTGTGGCTTACCCAAACAGATCAGCGGGAAGGGAAAAGCAAATGGAGTATCTTCCCACCTGAGAACAAAACTCTCTGGCTGCATAAAAAATGGTTTGACTGGACACAGCACAGCCAGACCAAGCCAGAGCTATAAATCTGGGTGCTTGGCCCTCCCCAAAGTGCTGACAAAGCCAAAAATCTTGTTCACCTGTCATAAGTATCACTGAGCCGGACAAGGAGCTTCCGGGTATCTGGAGAATAGCAGATATCCTGGACCAGCGTGTCCCCTATGGCAGTCTGTGGAGACAGATCAGACTTGTCAGGAATGTGCTCTGGGCCGAGTCCTTGACCCCCTTCATGGTAAACGACCTCTCACGAGCATCTGCAGTGTGTCAGACACACCCATGGAGTCCCCAAGCTTTAGTTCGGTTTCAGGGCTTAAGGTGTTGCCTTAGGATGGTCATTTTCCTGATGACTAAAGAGGCCTTTAAAGGAGTTGAGCTCACCCTCTGGGAGCCAAATATAGGCATTATTCACAAGTGTTAATACGTGCCTCTACACAGTTCCTTCAAATGGGTATTTTCCCCACAGCTCAGAAGGAAGACTAGGGCCCAAGGTGTCACACTAACACACACCTCTTGACCCAGGTCTTGGGAGCCCTGGAGTCAGTGCTCTGAGTTACTGCTGCCTCCTGTCCCCTGTGACGAGAGGCAGCCCTCAAGCCCATCTCTTGGAGTCATTGTGGTGATTAAATAAAACACGTGGAGTTCCCACCGCAGTGATGAGAACATTTCACAAGGTGAGGACTTGGGGCTGGCAGCTGGATTGGACTTGGGGACCAAAGGACTCACCTTAATGCTGCTGCTCTGCTTGGCAAGCAGTTCTTTTCACTTAGATGGGATGTTGCAGGTCAGTAACATAGCTACACTTTCTAAAGATATTCACCCTTTATGTAAGACTGTGAGGGAGATTTTGAGGGGACAAAAGCCCCTCCAAGCACTCCCACGGGCTGCCAGCCAAGCAGATGACAATGGGATGACATAGGCATTGTCTGGCAAGTCTTAGGTGGCTTCAGGTCAAGGACTGAGATGCTCCAAGTCCCAGGGGCAAGACTCCCTCCACCTTGGGTTCCTGGGCTGTCTGCCTCTGGGACCACAGCGAACCTGTGTCCCTCTCTCTAGAAACGGGAATTCCACCAGCCAGATCCCACTTTCTCTCGGGGACCTTCCCATCTCTCTAAAGGGCCATTCAGCCCTTCTCTGCAAGGATTCTTAGTTGATTTGAAAGTTTAATTCTCATCTGCGAATCTTATTGCCAGTTTCTAGGAACACAAAATGACAACACTCATGATAAATAACCCTTTATCATCTTCATTTCACAGTGCTGACCCTGAGGCTTAGAGAGGTCAGGTTAAGTTCTTTCTACCACAAACAAGGTAGAAAGAACTCTAAATATTTTCCATTCTCCTGCCAACATGCTTAAAGCGGTTCTCCCCACACTGCCACTCCTGCCACGGAGGCTAAGGTTGACAATGAAGAGTCAGGGAAAACTGGTTAACTTTTTCACCAAATAGATTTAATATTAAAATTCAAACGTCGGGTGCACAGTTCACTATTCATCTCAGCTTAGATGGGAACACTGATACTGGTAGCAGGCCTGTCTTTCGGGGTCAAATGGTACCCCATCTTTGTGTTTAAACAATAACAAATGTTCAAAAACATGAACTCAGTTTGTATTCTTTTCACTAACCTTTATCAAGTCCTTTACTTCATGAAAGTCCTAGATGGGGAAAAAAGACAAAAATCATTGGAAAACAGGCAAGCTGGCAGTTGTACACAGTTTATTAACTACAAAGAGCTGACCTGGGGTTGGACTGGATAAAGAGGCAAGTCCAGGACGATGCCGTCCTCTACTTTTCTGGCCTTTAGCTCCCCACTCAGAGTCACAAAGGTTAGAGCGCTATTCACATTTTCTGCCAAAAAAAAAAAAATTCAATCAGAAAACTGTTTGAAAATGAGTCAAGAAATAGGAAAATAAACTTTGTTATATTGTTATATGTTTATATGTCCATTTCAGTCACCGTTGTCTTAGATCCTGTGGCACTGCTGTCCTTTCGTGCAACGGGGGGCCAGGTTTGGTTTGCTGGGGTCCACAGTGGGGAAAACCCTCCCTGGATTCTAACTTGAAAACTAAGAATGTGGATGATTAGACTTGGCATCATATTGCAAGGCTTCAAATCCCAACTCTTTACTGCCTCCTAGCTGTACCCTTGAGCAAATTATTTAACCTTACATTTCAATTTCCTCATCAATAAAATGAGGTCAGAATTAAATCTATACTGATTTTACCAATAAAAAAGGGTAATAATTAAGCCTACCTAATGGGGATGCTATGTTTTCTAATACAATTTTATATCAACCTATAATAACTGTAGAATTATAAGCTTTACTAGTCTAAGGTATGTCAAGTGATGATAAACAGAACATACAAGTTATGAACAACAATCTGGCATGAACAAGTCAGATTTATTTTAACTAAACCAAGCTATACATAAAATTTTGATTTAAAGATCAGGCTATAAATGCAGATATAATAGCCCTCCCTCCATGTTTCTAATACAACTTGAGCCACTTACCTAACTTCAGTGCACATAACATTTTTGGTGAAACAAAGATTTGTAACATAATTCCTTCCCCCCAATACTTCTGTAAAATTTAAACATATCTCAAAGGTGAGGAAATTCAGCACTGCTTATTAACTTTCACTAAGTGTAAAATTTACATTTTGGGACCCAAAGTTTAACTTTCTCATTATAATTGGTGTTAGACTATTATTTACAAAGCAGGTTTTCATATCTTATCTCATCTAACTTTAAAAACGCTCAGTGGGAATCTGAGAGCTATCATTACAAACCTCAGCCTCATACTAACCAATGTGGGGTTTTCACATACAACTTAAGTAAAGTCTGCTTTTCAAGACTGAGTTACTAAACAATATTTTATGATGTTTGCTTGCCTTCATTCTAATCTCCTAACCACTGAAACTAAAATTATCTTTTTAAAACACACAATGGATTACATTACAGAGGTGCCTTTGCCTAACTCTCAGCGTCATCTCCTGCCAATCACCCTCTCCCGCAGGAAGCTCCAGCCTCAGGTTATACAGACAATGCCTCGGGGGCTTTGCACTTGCTGCTGCCTCTGCCAGAAACACTCTTCCTCCCACTCTAACTCTTTGCACAGTTGGCTTCATGTTCTTCAGCCTGAAGGTCCCCTTCTCTAATGTATGCTGTTGTCCTGCAATGTCTTATAGCAGTCACTTGGTTGGCTGGAAAGAATGTGAGAATTTTAAAATATATTTGCTATTTGCTAAGTGATAGGTTCATTTTTTTAAAAAATCACATTACTTATTTTGTGAAACAGCACAGCTGCAGAAGCCAGGGTAGCATGGCCACAGAGAGGGACCTCACTCGCTGGTGTAAACCACCTTAATCCAAAGCGGGAGCCTTCAGAGAAAGACAAATCAAAGAGAGACAAAAGTCATTCTCATACAAATGAGCCACAAACTTTTCATTTTCTTATTCTTTTCTCAGTATTTCATTAGTGTCGGTCTATCGCTGAAGCATGTTGTGAAAGGAGGAGTGAACTCTAAACACTAGATCTGGGGCTGAATCATCAAACTAACCAAACCCACTCCCCTAGATTAACTGAAAACCAAATCAGAATCTCCCCTTCTCTCTCCTATCTGCATGCAAACAGCAAGTGGGCATTACCCTTAAATGTCATTGCCCCACTGGAAAAGCAGCTTCTGGTACCATTCAGGAATGGTTTTTAAAAATGTTTACTTACTTTGTGTAAAGTCATCGGTTGGGTGCAGTTTTCGGATGAAAGCAGTTTCTGAGAGGTTCATTTCCCTTGCAATTTTTTGATGCATGTCTTCATCCAATTTCTACATTAGAAACAAAAAGTTGTTGAGATTCCAGAAATACAAGTCAGACTTCTTTGGACAGCAACTGTCATTAGTTAATAACACAATTTGTTAATATTAAAACTTGCATGCTTAAAAGGAAATAATTGCCAAGGAATTTAGGCACTTTTCTAAAAACTGCTTTTTAAAAATCCATGTCTGAGCACCTTATGAAGAGCTGTGTAAGTGTATGAAGCTAGAAGAGACACTGAACACCCAACTGGCCCGGCCTATCCTTTGTGAGATTTTTACCTAAAACAATCTCCACAAATGGAAACATCACAATCTCCCTTTCTTGTTGGATGAAGAGATATTCGGCACTCGAAGGAGGCACGCTGGACCACTCTGCCTCCATTTATGCAGGTTCACTCCCTTTCACGGGTCAGGCCTCAGGCCAGAGGTCACTTCCTGCAGGATGCCTCCCAGACTGCTCTGCCTGCAAGCACTGTCTCCTCCCCAGCTCTCAGACAACCTGAAATCACCTAGCATGTCCTTCACTGTCATCCTTCACACAGTCCCTCCACCTCTGACTCAGAGCTCTAAGAGGGCACAGACTGCTATTTTGCTTTGTCCTGGCTTAGAACAATGCGTTGTATTCATCCCAGGATGGAAGAGGCTCAATAAACATTTGCTGAAAGAATAAATACATTACTCAATTAATCTTTGTTCTAAAAATCTTCAATATGGGTATTTGATCCACTTACAGATGAAGTTAAACAGAGAGGTTGTTTAACTTCCTAAGATCACGATATGCCTAATCAATGGTAGAGTGATTAAGAGTGTGGACTTTGCAAATGGTAACAACCAGAGAATCTAGAGGAAAGGTATATGGATGTTCATTGTACACTCTTGAAACTTTTTTGTGGGTTTTTAATTTTCCAAAATAACATGTTAAAAATAATTTGGGGCCCTGGCAGGTGTAGCTCACTTGATTGGGGCAGCCTGTTGTGTTTCTCTCTCACATCGATGTTTCTCTTTCTCTCTCTCTCTCTCTAAAGGCAATGAAAGAAATGTCCTTGGGGGAGGGATGAATGAGTGAATGAATGACTGAAGTAGGCTTCGCACTGGCCAGGTAGCTCAATTGATTGGAGCATAATCCCGTATAACAAAGGGTTTCGAGTTTGATCCCCGATCAGGGTGTGTACCAGAGGCAACCGATCAATGTTTCTCTCTCACATTGATATTTCCCTCTCTCTTCTCTCTCTCTAAAATCAATAAACATGTCCTCAGATAAGGATTTTAAAAAATTGTTTTAATAAAAATAGTGTGGGCTTTGGAAACAGACAGAATTGGAGCTGTATCTGGATCAGCCCCTCATAGCAGTGAGAGGGTGGGCAAGTCATTTACTCTCATGGAGCCTCAGTTTCCACACCTTTAAAATGGGATTAATAGTATTAAATCAAAGAATTATCGCAAAAATACATGTGTGCATACTATATTTTCATACACAGACACATTCCTCTTACCTCCAGAAAACAATGGGTCAGAAATATGCGTTTTCCTTTTGAGAGTAAAAGTAAATTTTTTAATCAACATAATGCTTACTAGCTAGATTTTGAATTCTAAAGACAAATGAATTTTTGCTTTGGCCAAAGTTACTATTCCTGAGATTCTGAATGCCAGAAATAAGAATTATAACTTAATACTAATAAATTCATAATTCACTTAGCTGAGTTACACAAGTTAAGCGCCCTTGTTTTTTAGTGGTTTCAAATTCTTTTGAAACACTTTTCATATACTTGTGTAAGGCATTAAACAGTGGCTCTTGTGAAAAATCAATCATGAATTTTAAACTATCAGCTGCTATAAAAATCTAGCAAGAGATTTACTAAGGTTTTCTTAAAGGAGCACTATATTCAAAATCTATAGAAGTTCTGTAGTCCTACAGAAAGAGAGATCAGTTAAGAAATTGGTAACTTATTTTCTAAAAACCCAAACATAACAAATTGGTTTTGTTTTTTACTTAATGTTTTTCTTTCAAAAGCTTAAATCTAGTAATGTATGTAAAGTGCTCATAACAGTGCCCAACACAAGCAAGTACTTGATTAATGTTAGTTTTTTATTCTGAGTGGCTGCCATACTACCCTGCCTCCCCATAACACAGACTGTTACTATCCCTTTAACACACTGCAGGCAGGAAAACCAACGTGCATCGGGTCAGATGGGCCCCTGCAATGTTTCTAAGGGAAAGCAGCAACTAATTACTGAGCTGGGCCAGCAGCATCTGCAGCATCAGCAGCACTACCGAGGGAATTTGTCAGAAATGCAGTCTTGGACCCCATCATGGGCCTTCTGAATCAGAATCTCCGTTTTGACCAGCACCCCAGATGACCCGTGTGCACATTAGGATTTGAGAAGCCCTGGTGTATACGGACGGCCCTGTGTTCTTGTGGGGAGTCAGGACAGACACAGAAAGCGACAGTGAACAACACCAGAGAGTACCTGTGTATGTGAGACACATGGTGTTGTGTACAGTGTGCGACTGAGATACATAGATTTTGACAATTGATACGCTAGACCTTTAAAGATGAGGCCTTGAAGTGGACCTAGAAAAAGGGCAAATTTTGGTGAGTTGGACAGGACAATGTGTGCAAAGAGCTTTGTATTGGGTATGCATCTTGGGAAAGTTACTTGATCTCACATCTGTCTGTTACATCTTTGACTCTCTAGGATTCTGTGACTGAGGCAAGGAGAGTTAGGATGGTAGGAATGAAATGAAATAAGCCCCTGTCACTCATGTGGGCCTGGAGAATGAGAAGTCCCATCTGAGTCGAGGAAGGGTGTGGTTGCTGGAGCATCCCAGGCTACAAGGCAACACTGTTAAGGATTGAACTTGGGCATGCTTTCCCTCTGGGGGCATGGCCACACCTTTCCCTTCCTCCTCTTCTTCCCCCCAGTCCTCCCCCCAGGCATGTTACTTTTGCCTCTCCCTCTCCTAAGCTACAAGAGCCCTTCTTTTGCTTCTGTAACTTGTTTCCTGAGCCTATGCAGCCCAGCTGGCTCACTTTTACTACATCTATAGCTTTCTAAATAAGCTTTCTCTTATAATTTGAAAAAAAAAGAAAAAGAACTGAAGCACTTGCCATGGTCTGTACAATGTTCTCTGTGGAAACTGGCCCACACACCTGTGCATACAACACCCAAGAGAGACTAGAAGCCATTTAATTCCCTGATGCAGACTCTGCAATCACAGGGCTCAACGGCGGATGGAGGGGTGGCAAAGAAAAGCCTGCACCTGGTTTTCTTGGGATTGCCTCCCTGATGGCAGGAACCACAGTGCCTGCCAGTCCTTCCTCCCTCTGATCCAGCCAGACTCTCCCTGCCCTTGGCCTTCCTTTCTTTATCTATTGTTTCTCTCGACCTTTAGGACAAGAGTCTCTGAAAGCATTAAAGCATCCCACTTTGTAGCCAGATTTACCATCAACTGGTAATAAATTTCCTTGCAAAAGGGCTGTTGTGCACATCAGCTAGAACACATACTTTACCGACCATCAGCTCTTTAATCCTCTCTACCTTGATGAATTACATCAATTGCAATTTGAATTTCTGTAACTATTCTCTGTCCCAGGACACTTAAAATCACCTGCTATTTGCCTGAGGGACCAGAAGACATAATGTAGAAATTTTTATAATAGCAGCCCTCAATATGCACCATCTGAGGCTGAATTTCTACACTGGAACTAAAGGTCAAGATAATGGTGACTCATGAGAAAAATAATACTGGTTCTGCTTTGAGAGCTTTAGAAACAAAAGGAAGAGGCTGCATTCATTTAAAATACTGAATTTTGGTTCCAATAATTTTTTTATTTTACACTACAAGCTTATTTTCCTTTTTCTATATTTGAATTTTTAAGTATATTTTATTGATTATGCTCTTACAGCTGTCCCAGTTTTTTTCTCCCCTTTCTTCCTCTCCTCCCTGCATCCACCCCTACCCTCCAGCATCCCCCCACCTGCTTAGTTCATGTCCATGGGTTGTATATATAAGTTCTTTGGCTTCTCTATTTCCTATACTGCTTGTAACCTACCCCTATCTATTTTATGCCTACCAATTATGCTTCTTATTCCCTGTACCTTCCTCCGCTAATCTCCTCCTCCCACTGATAAACCTCCATGTGATCTCCATTTCTGTGATTCTGTTCCTGTTCTAGTTGTTTGCCCAGTTTTTGATTTTTAGGTTCAGTTGTTGATAGTTATGAATGTGTTGCCATTTTATTGTTCATAGTTTTGATCATCTTCTATTTCTTAGATAAGTCCCTTCAACATTTCATATAATAAGGGCTTGGTGATGATGAACTTCTTTAACTTTACCTTATTTGGGTAGCACTTTATCTGCTCTTCCATTCTAAATGATAGCTTTGCTGGATAGAGTAATCTTGGATGTAGGTCTTTGCCTCTCATGACTTCAAATGCTTCTTTCTAGCCCCTTCTTGCCTGTAAGGTTTCTTTTGAAAAATCAGCTGATAGCCTTACAAGAACTCCTTTGTAGTTAACTCTCTCTTTTTCTATTGCTGCTTTTAAGATTCTCTCCTTATCTTTAATCTTGGATAACTTCATTATGATGTGCCTTGGTGTGTTCCTGCTTAGGTCCAATTTCTTTGGGACTCTCTGGGCATCCTGGACTTCCTGGAAGTCTATTTACTTCACCAGATTGGGGAAGTTCTCCTTCATTATTTGTTCAAATAAGTTTTCAATTTCTTGCTCTTCCTCTTCGCTTCTGGCACCCTTATGATTCAGATGTTGGAACATTTAAAGTTTTCACAAAGGTTCCTAAGCCTCTCCTCATTTTTTTGAATTCTTGTTTCTTCATTCTGTTCCAGTTGGATATTTATTTCTTCATTTTGTTTCAAAACCTTGGTTTGAGTCCCAGTTTCCTTCCTTTCACTGCTGGTTCCCTGTATATTTTGTTTTCTTCCACTTTGTATAACTTTCATTTCTTCTTTCATTTTGCGACCGATTTCCGTCATTTCTATGAGCATCCT